AACTACAGCTGTTTCTGAAGGTAAACAAACTACAGCTGTTTCTGAAGGTAAACAAACTACAGCTGTTTCTGAAGGTAAACAAACGTCTGCTGTTTCTGAAGGTAAACAAACTAACTACAGCTGTTTCTGAAGGTAAACAAACTAACTACAGCTGTTTCTGAAGGTAAACAAACTACAGCTGTTTCTGAAGGTAAACAAACTACAGCTGTTTCTGAAGGTAAACAAACTTCTGCTGTTTCTGAAGGTAAACAAACAAACTACAGCTGTTTCTGAAGGTAAACAAACAAACTACAGCTGTTTCTGAAGGTAAACAAACAAACTACAGCTGTTTCTGAAGGTAAACAAACTAACTACAACTGTTTCTGAAGGTAAACAAACTAATTACAGCTGTTTCTGAAGGTAAACAAACTAACTACAACTGTTTCTGAAGGTAAACAAACTACAGCTGTTTCTGAAGGTAAACAAACTACAGCTGTTTCTGAAGGTAAACAATATAAAAAGTGTAAACAAAGTGTGAATGTTGTCGATTTGAAAGAATTACATTCCCTCCAGCGGCTTCCATCCCATTCTTTCCTCCTTCCTGCATCCATCACTCAGTAATAAAACTGACTCCGCCCCCTCTAACCATCAGCTTGTTAACTCCTCCTCCTCCTTCTCCTCCTCCTCCTCCTCCATCTCACCCTGTAGGGGGCACCCTGTCCCGGCACGCCTCCCTGCCCACCCAGCGTCAGCAGCTCCTGTCCAGAGCCCCCCTCTCCTCCAGCCTCAGCTCCGCCCCCCACACTGATGACTCCTACACTCTGTATGCCCCGCCCACCCACATGGTGCTGCCGCTGGCCAATGGCCTGACCACCTGCACAGGTACACCACACACTCAGGACACTCAGGAACAGTCCAGGACAGGTTCAGGTCTGAGTGAAGCATTAATCTGGAAACATTTATTTTAAATTTAAGAAATAAAACAGTTAAAAAAACGTCTCAGATGAAATTTATTATTATTAAAAACCAGAATCTGGTTCCTGACTGGACCCCACACCCCGCCAACAGAACCAGGTCCATCAGAGTCTTTGTGTCTGATAGGTCTGTCTCCAAGTCGCCTGTCTCAGTCTGGGTGTCCCTACGAGGACATCTGGGTCCTCAGGGGCTCATGTCACGGTAAGACCACCTGACCCCCCACCCACCATGGCTGCTCTGCATCCGGACCCATCACACCAGGACCAGTACAGACTCAAGTCTCCAGTTGTGTTGCTTTTATTTATTGTTTATCAGAACAAAGATCAATCAGCTTTAATCTGATGATTGTTGCTAATCTGAAAACTTTTTGATTCGTAAAATCAAACAGTTTTCACTCAAACTGATAAAAATGTAGCTTTTATTTTTTCTTTTTTTGTTTAACAGAATTATTTTATAAAACAAATGAATAAAGCTGATCCTGATTAAAAGGACAGTTTCCCTCCTGAACAGGGACAAGTTGGACTCAGGTGTGTCTCTGCTGAGGACAGTCTGTCGTCTGAGCTCAGAAAGACAATGATTGACATGTTAAAGGAAAGGTCACTCTTAGACTAGCCTTTAGCTCTTCAGTCTAGTTAGAAGGTAGTTTAAGTCTCTGTCTACAACATGTAAGATATTGACGTTTACATAGAAGGTCTGAACTGTCCCTTTAAAAACATCAAAGAGACAACAAGTAAAAACATATCAGAGTCTGGATCAAACCAGAACAAATAAAAACAATGWTTGTCCTGGTGTGTTGGGTCAGAACATGCTGCTTCACGCTTCAATCAGAACCTCCTGCTAACAATAATCCATCACTACTGGTGGGGGCACCTAGTTATTGTGTCCACTTGTGGGCCGACTCCTTGTCTACTTGTGTCCACATAAAGGAAGTTAGAACCCAGCTGGTCTCACCTGGTCTTACATGGTCTCACCTGCTCTTAGCTGCAGGGAGACCTACAGACAGACTTCAACTGCTTGATGATAATCGCTGCTGTTTCCAGAATCTGTAGTCTGGCTCCAGGTGTTTGGACCTGTGCTTGTTTCTAATGCTACTGTTGATGCTTCTCCTGTCTCTGACACCGACCTGAGGACTCTGACTCCTCTGACACTGACATGAGGACTCTGACTCCTCTGACACTGACATGAGGACTCTGACTCCTCTGAC